TTTCAACCGATGGTTATACTCAACACACAGTTCTTATTTGCAGTTTCTATGACTACTGGAGCAGCACTAATTCCTTCAAATTAAAAGGAAAGAGAATTCAATTTGTATATTTAAACAAGAACAGGCACAATTTTTTTTTAAAGCTATTCCAGCAGACAAAGCATATATACTTCTACACATATATCTCCACTTGAAGATGGAGACATGCATATATATTCAATTTCAAAGATTTAACAAAGCAGAGAAAAGCAGAATCAATTTTAATACATATTTTTTATGCAACATTAGGAAATTGTAGCCAGTATTGAAAGAATTCTACTTTTATCTTTTAAAAATGTTCACTACAAACCATGTGAATTTCTTTAGTTAGATGAAATGAAACAATCAAAAGAGCAGCATAAACATTGTGTTTCTTTGTCAAAGAATTGCCTGTGCATCCTATATGATTACAAGGCTTAGGATATTTTTTTCCTGTGTCACTTACATCTGTCATATAATTTGAACTCCATGCATCTAACACAAGGAAGCATTAGTGTATATATATGTGTGTGTATATATATATATATATAGCTGTTGTAGGATTATGACTCAGTTTATTGGTTTCAGTGGTACTAGTCATATAATTTGTGTAATGTCTTTTTTAGTAACTCCAGTTCCTTTAAATATATTGTGGTCTTAGCCACAAAAAGTCTAATGACACCAGAAAAGCACACTGCCAGAATAAGCAAAATTCACCATACCCACTGAAGGTATTTCTAAATGAAGAAACTAGTTATTTTTTTATGATATTCGTATACCTTTACTTGGCTTTAACCTATCAGCTTTTAAAAAACATTTAATTTTACTGCATTTTAAGCATATACCTGTGCTGGTTTCACAATCAAAACAATCCCTCAGACAAAGATAATCTGAGGTACAAAAATTACCCCTTGGTAAGTCTCATTGCTGTGCACCTGGGCAGCCACAGAGCCCCTGCCAGCCAGGCAGCCATCACACAAGACAACTTGCAGCCCTGGACAGCCCTGCACAGCTGCTAGCTAGGGAATGACTTCTGGATAACCATGGAGCCTCCCAGCAAACCAGCTTGATGTCCTTGTTTCATGCCAGCTGGCTCACCTGTCCAGTCTCCATTCAAATATTGATGGAGTGACATAAAATACACGTCTGTAAAATCAACATTTTTTTCCAAGGAACTGCTGTTCTGCCAGAAAAATCGGAACTGGGTTTAAAATTAAGTACTGGAAAATACATTAGGAATTAATTTTATGATTTTAATCAAAACATTACTGAATCCATCCTTTTTCCTCTAGTAATTCTCTCATCACAGCTTTCCTTTGTATCAAATTACTTCTTTTCCTTGAAAAGCCCTTCAGAGGGAGCAGGAAATACAAAAACCATCTTGTAAGGCACATTGGAGGAATGTTCTCTGGGTTCAGTGAACACCCTATATTAAACATTATTTTACAATCCTGAGTCTCACCAGGTACTTCCATATATATCTTAAGAGGCACAAAAAGCTTTCCTGGCACACAGTGAAAGATATTTTCCTCTTTATCAACCCCTCAACTCTCAGTTTCATGTGTCAGTTGGGCAGCTGTGTGGAGACAGCTTTTCTTACCTTCTGGTTATCCCGAGGAAGAGAAACATGAAGGCCAGTCACCTCAAGAAAATGCAGTCATACCACATTTGACATCACTGCTCCACAGAATGGAACACTTCAGGGCCAGTCAGTTGTTCTGAAATCACTCCTAACACCGATCTGGGCAAGCTAAAAGCAAACAAAAAAATTTATTTGAAAATTTTAAGAACACATCACAATCATCACATTAGTTGAGAAACAGAAAAAAGGGAAAGCCCACATAATTTCCAAACACATGTGTACTTAAGTTAGATCACCAGGCTTCTCTTACTCTACAAGATTTAGTTAATATGCAAACAGATACTTCACATCATTCCTGGCTGAAGGCTGTGACACACATCCAGGGCTGGATGTGTGCCCTATGCCTTCCATCTACATTGACGGAAAATGGTTCAGACCAAGAAGCCTACCTTTTATCTATTTTTGGTAAAATTAAACCAAAATTCCTCTGTCTTCCATTCTTCTCCCTTTCCCATCTCCCCACCATTTAACATCCAAAAACAAGAGCAGGCTTTATGATTGTGGTCCATCTTTTTCCCTCACGTCCCACCTTACACTCAGTGATGGTGAGACAACATTCGTTTGAATCTTTTTGCTCTGTCTGATCTGATGGACAGAAAACATGGTGAGTGCACAGGAGAAAACAACATTCTCTTCACTTTACTGTGCCCATCCATCAGTCTTATTCCAGCCTAGATGGAGAAGCAGCATTTGGCAAGAACTGTCCATATGCAGTCTCGCCCTTGCTGTAGGTGCTCGAGAAGAAACTCTCTGCAAGTGACATTTGTAACCATAGTGTAATTCCCTACAACCTCCATAGACAATGAAGTATTTTTTCCCAACAAAAACAAAGTGAAAGCTTAAGCAACGAAATTTCCCTTTTTTTACAAATTATGTACTAATACATTGCTATGCTGCCATCAAGAACAATCAAAATATGGAAGTATATCTGCACATGATGACCAAGGTAATATGGCCGCTAAAATTTAGATATTAATCTTTTTTCCCATGTAATTCATACAAGTCAGGGGAAAATCCACACCTTCCAAAATACTTACGTTAAGTTTTTGAGCCTCAGTCCAGCAAACACCTATTTGCAATGATGGAATTGTCCCATTGATTTTAGTTATACACATTAAACATCTTTTGTTGGATTGGAAACTTGGATTTGTAACTTAAAAATCCCTTTCACTGGTTATCAAATAGCTGTTGGATCTGGCCATTCTTTGGAGATAAAGATAATCACTTGCTCTGGGGAAGAAAGTTGCTGGGTTTGCCTGCATCACATGTAATACATGAACCAAGTTAACACCATTCTGATTATGTTTCCAAGATACACACAAACACTTTGCTAGCACAGGCTTATCTCTGGCTCAAGACCTAAATATAATTAAGGCTCTAGGGTAGAAATGGAAGAGTTTTCTTTAAGCATTGCAATGGTAACACAGACTGTCAAGCGAATATGAAGGTAGGAATCTTGACAAATATGAAATACAAGAAGTTATTGGGCAATAATGGCATGTTGTAACCATGTCATGCAGCTTGTTTGTATGACAGCTCATAGAAGTTTTTACACAGCGAAGTCCCTTCCTCAGGAGTCAAACAGAATAAAACTGACTACTGATTAGAATTTGCCATCTTACTTAGAAATCTAAATAAGTTAATGTGAAAAGCACATATGTCAGTTAAAAATAGCTAGGTAGGTAATTTTTGGGATCCACCTATTAAAAGTGATATTATGCTTTATGCTCATTTCATTAAAATTAATATTGGAATTTCATAGGCAGGAAAACCTATAACTGTTCAGGAGAGGTAAAGAAACAAAATTAAATGCAAAGAAACAGTAAAAGGATTTGTGAAATCAATCAGTCAAATGGTTTATGTTAGGATAAACAATCTTGCCCAGTGTGAACTCAAAATGGCAGCTGACTTTAGTTGGCACAAACGTTGTTCTAAATATGTTTCAGGAGCATCAGGTGTTTCCTGTGAAGATTTGCTTCCACATGGCAGAATTTCATCTAAATCCCAGCACCATGGGCAAGTGTCCTCTGCTCCCTACTCCAACTGCTGAACCATATGTATGATAGGATTTTTCCCTGCAGTGCACTGTGAGGTGAATACCAGAAACAACTGCGCACCAAGACTTTCACATCCTGAATATGTGCAGAATACTTCCTTCTGTCACTCCTTGACCCACTTCACTGACAGAGACACCAAGAAGGGGATTTAACAGAGCTCCCCACCACAGTGCTGACTGTTCTGGACTTTATGAAAATGAGATGCTATCACAGATGGCTTTGTAAGGTCATTGCCAACGTCATTTCAGAAAATGAGATTTAAACTAAGTTACTTCCATGTTTTTACATAACATCTGACAGCCATAGGGTTCATAATGCATTTGCATGCACTCCTAAAAAAATTTTAAAATTAACACAGAATTTTGCTGTAGACAGTTAAGAAAATTTGACATCAACATCTTGAAAATGGTAGAGAAGAATATACAAAGCATCCTCAGAATTCCAACTTCTTAATTTTATTTAGCTTTTCTTATGAAGTCCAGAAAATCTGTTTTAATCTATTTACTTAAATGTCCTAGCAAAGAAAAAAATGATGAAAACTGTGTTATCTAGAGTTTTGTCATCAAATCTGGCTCCAGACAAATCCCTCCAGCTTATCTAGTCCTACTGAAACATTTATTATTGCTCTGAACATGAAAAAAATGGAATTCCTGATGAAGGGAACTCCCAGGAGAAAGCACTACAGAGAACAGAAAAATCCTGAAAATCCAAAATACAGATTATAACCCTGCACAGTAAATTTATAAATTGATAGGGACATTCTCACACTCCAGTGTATTTCATCAGTCCAGGGGAGTTATCTTCTACTACCTTAGAATAATTCAGCTCGCAAAACTAACTGGGGAATGATGGTGGAGAGATCATGCCATTTTGAATTATTGGACTGGAGAAGACATGAATTTACCCAACTGCAGTAGAAAATAATTACTGCTAGTCCATTTAGGATAAAATCTAATCCAAAATCTAAAATTCACAAGAATTTGCAGCTACTACAACTGACCTAACTTCTACAATCAATAAGGTTCTGAATACTGAGTAAACCTAGGTACTAAAAGGTTTCTTGCAAGTAACTATTGATATTTCGTCAGCTATGTTACAATCTGTTAGAACCTGTTTATTATGGGGTTTTCTATGCTATGATTATGCACTCTGCTTGTACTATCACCTATATTCTGAAGTCTGTGTCCTTTATATGTTTTCAGAGATAAATGATTCATTACTGTTGACCTTCATGGGGTATAGAATAAAAGGGTCATCAAATCACACGTAGTACTTACAGGTTGAGGCCAACAGGTCCACTCTTTAATGAATTATTCCAGCTCCAGTAACATATCAAAAACAATGTTTGCTATTTTTTGTTAAAAACACAGCCTTCCTTGGCTACCACAGTTACAGAGTGACTGAAGTGGAGCATGTTTGATGTTTTGATGACAAAGATGAAAACTGTAGGCAGGAAAACAGAAAACAAAAATAGAACTTCAGTTACAATTCCAGCTTTCATTTCCATTTCACACACTGATCATATTATTGGCCCTGAATGTGTCTTCGCTACTTTTTCCCTCCTTTCTTCTTTCCTTTAATTTTGTGGTCTGATTGCCCAAAGAGCTATTTTTTGACAAGACTTAGTTGTTTCTAGCTTCTCTTTCCAGGAGTCTGTTTTCTAAAATTAACAATAACAAGGAAAAGGCAGTGGAGTGTTGTGCTCATAACACACACAGGGTGAGGCAGAGGCTGAATGATAAATCCTTGAACTGAAGGAACCCACAAATGCCTGCCCAGACTTCCTTCGTGGTAACATTATACACTAAATAATACTACTGTTGAGAAATTCCAAATTGTCCCCACCATTATTTAGTTCAAGAGAGACAAATACTTTCAGAGCACCACCTTGTCTCTGGCACTATTACAGATGTCAGAATGGCAAACTGCCTCACTCAGAAAGGAAACCAGGACCACTGTTAGTGATAGATGAACTGAGGACTTCCAGGGAGTTACTTAAAACATATTGGCATTCTCAATAAAAGCAGTACTTAAAAATAGACTACAACTCCATGGGTCTAAAAAAAACAAAAAAAATGTTTGCAACAATTCCATTACTTTTTTTTAATTTCTCTTCGAGGAATTTATGAAGTTTATTTGGTTTTACATTCTCTACTGTTAATCATGAAAGCAAATCCATCAGACCTTTCAACATACAAGGTCTGTATTGTGTGATTTATGGAGAGATCATATAATTTTCATGCCAGAAGTGATCTCCTCATCTCAAAATAAGTATTTTGAGTGATCCTTGTTTCTGCTGAATCTTTTTAAGAACACCAAGGAAAGTTCTCTGTTGAAGTAAGTGGGCACAGTACCAAATGTCAGTGTAACCTCTTTCACTTACACCACCAGCCTCAGACAACGGCCTGAGCCATTAACAAGTTGCTACTTAACAGGCTGTTAATTTTAGCAATCGTGTTGCATATTAAAGGTCCAGAACAAGGTTTACATGAGATTGAACACAATCATTAAATGGAAAGCCACTGAAAATTACTGAAATTATATAAATCATGGACATGTGCATTTGTGACCAAAATTGAAGGCCATAAGAATAAGCAGAGGCGGTAGTAAAACCTTCTCTGATTCCTCTCCCTTCAATTTTGGTCACAAATGCACATGTCCGTGAACTTGCAGTCTGGCACAACAGAGTCATTCATATTTTCTTAAATGACACAGAGAATGAAAACATTTCTCCCTTTTATCACCTCAGGAACCATCACTGAATCTCTGATTCAGTAATCTTCAGCACCTTACTCCCTGATCTCCCAAAATTCCAGCTTCAGTTCAATTTTTAAAAAATCTGACACTCTCAGGGTATAAGAGATTCTAAAGAATTTTACCACTTAAGTTTAAAGCATTTAAAGCTTGCCTTATTGCTGTTTTCCATGGTTTGTTTTCAGCTGGAGACCATTTGTAATTAACATACGCCTGTTGTGATTAGGCTAAATAGTTTTACTCTCAGACTATTTGCAGGTTCAAAGTATGTAGAGGGTTTTCTTCTTTCTCAATCTCTTAGTATGAGACATATTTGTAGAACCAGAAATGGAAACACTCGTAAAGCTGCATTTGTCAGGCTCCCTCTCCCCTAAGCAGCCATGTATCTAAGGATGAAGCCTTATGCTGGAAAAGGCCCTGGGGGTGCTGGTCGACAGCAGCTGAACATGAGCCAGTGTGTGCCCAGGTGGCCAAGAAGGCCAATGACATCCTGGCTTGGCTCAGCAATAGTGTGGCCATAGGACCAGGGCAGTGATTGCCCCTCTGTACTCGGCACTGGTGAGGCCACACCTCAAATCCTGTGTCCAGTTTTGGGTCCCTCACTCTGAGAAAGACACTGAGGTGCTGGAGCGAGTCCAGAGAAGGGCAATGGAGTTGGTGAAGGGTCTGATGAGGAGCAGCTGAGGGAGCTGGGAGTGTTTAGCCTGGAGAAAGGGAGGCTGAGGGAGGACCTTATCTACAATAGTCCATAGAAGTTTATAAGAGCATTCACATTATTTCATTAATTTCTTCCTAATTGCTATACTTCAGTTTTGTACAGAATTGCTTGACATAGTGATGCTTGTCCAGAGGAAGGATTTAGTTTCCAGAAAAAGATGTATTTACTGAAGAAGAAGCACATTACCAAAACCTAGATAAAATATAGATTTCATTGATGAGATCTATTTTTATAAAATCCAAAATACTATTGTCTGCAATTCTTAAATTATTTCAGGAAGAGTGCCAACATCATAAAATGCAAGAAACAATAATGAGAACCCCTCTTGCCTCTGTGGTGGCACCATACATTATTTTTGATGAACGAGGCAGGTTTCCAAAACTTCTTTTCAGAAATTCAAGCCAATACTCAGATTGAATAAAATCAAACTTGGCTCAGTGGCAGGCACTTGCAGTCCAGGGAAAAGAGCCTGCAGATTCCTTTTCCTTTCCCAGGACACTTTTGCTTAATAGCACACACCCAGAGGACCCAGGCTGTTAGCTCACAAAGCCATCTGCTTTTTAATCATCTGTGGGAACCATACGAGTACTCAACTAAGTGCTATTCTCCTTTAGTCAGCTTCCTAGTCCTGGATTTCTTCAGCTTTTCCTTCAGGAATATATTTAAATCTAAGCAGTTTCCCATGTCTGACTTGCCTTTACTTAGTAATTTAGTAGTTTGAAGGACAGACAGATGAATTTTTTCTTTTAAAGAAAAGAGCTGCCAATAGTACATGTTAGGATGGTGAGCACAAAATAAACTTGTGATGCTCATGTCAAACAAATGAGAGCAAGAAAAGGCACACTCTACATTTGTTTCTCTCTATGCCACAAGAAAGAGGAGTCAGAATCTCTTAGAGATGGCAGTAAACGTTATTACTGTGACCTTTTGTTAATTCTCAACTTCAGCTGCTGGTCATTCCCTGTTCTTCTCATTTACAGTCTCAGTAAGCAGCATAAGGGCATGTGAGCCAAAAAACCACAAAACAGCCACTCAAAATACAGAATACTAATTTTTTTTAATTTCTGTTTAGAGTTCTTTAAAACCACATAGTTCTCCACTGGCTTTGATAGACAGTTGCTTTCTTCTACATCATTTTTTAAGTAAATTATCAGCAGGAACAGCATCTAAGCTATTTTGCTGTACCTCTGCCCTGCAACCTCTGTATGAGCTCACTTTCTGCTCAACAGGAGTACAAGTTTCCAGTGCAGATCTGCCACATCAATTGGACAGGACAGGAGGTATATTTTGCAACATGTGCCAAGAACATAAATAAATAAATTATATGATTTACCTAAATCTTTATTGTTCCTCTACCATTCTGACCTTGGTGAAATCATTAGATAATGAAATACAAGTCCTTCCTTTAACTTTGTTTTTTATCTTGCTATCTGATGACATTCAAATAAATTCTTTTCCATTGTTACATTTCATTTCACAAAATTTTTGTACTGCCTTTGTCCTTCATTTTTCCTCACATTGGTAAACTCTTAATGTGTATGAAAACAGAGCCTATTTGCTCAGCCCTACATACCTTTAACATATTAACTGAAAAAATCTGAAAACATAACTAAACCTATGGTTTTGTCTACAGATAAACACAGACTGATTTACAGTGATATATGTATGAAATAAGAAGCTCATGTTAAGTTTCTCAGAAGTGTACCAGGAGCAATGATTCACAAGCCAACAAAAGATGGTAAATATCTATATTTTTTCAAAAGGTGTAAACTGGTTGGGTTCTGAACACCCAGCTACAGTTTCAGTTACACACCATTCCATGAATCTGACCATAGAGTAGGAATGGATGAATTTTAAAGAGCTTAGGGAAAAGCATAAAAAATATTTTAGAATTATTAAGAATTTCAGTTTGCAAAGAAGAAAAGTTTCAGAACAGTTATGAATAAACTGCATTTTTTTCTTGGGTAAAATTTATATTATTAGCAAGGTTTAAACATAAATAACGTCTCTTTGAATGGTATTACAGTGATGAGTTACAGCAAGCAGTGGCAAATAGCATTACTTACTACTCCAGAATTCCCCAGATGTGCACTCCACACACCTACATTTTCTTTCCTATATTATCCTCAGTGTTCAGACAGGCCTATGGGATATATCCTGATATCCAAACAACATGCAGGTAACTAAGCTGCCACATGAATTTTGAATATTTTCATTTCTCAGCAGTGCCAGGAGCAAGACGAAAAATTCCAGATTAGAGTAATACAGTGAAAGTACACCAAAGGAAGACTGAGGGGACATTAACAGTGGTACACAAAGAAGGCATAATCTGTCTCAGAAAGGGCATTTTCCTTCAGTATCAACAAAATAGCACAAAACCAAATGACTCTTTTACATTTCCAAAGTAATACTGCACACCCTAGCAGGAACAGCCATTAAATGACTCCCTGCTGCTGTGACTGTGAGGGAAATGCATTCTTTCCATGTTATGTATAGACAATTGGACAGAAGTATTCCTTAAAATAACAGAAAGGTGAAGACATATACTGGTTTTAAGTGTATCCCAGAAACTTGGAATGGCTGAACACAAACTAAATTCAGGGCTTACATAAAAGCTTTGCCACAGCTCTATATTTCCCTTGAACAAATTTAATGCACATAGGACATTATTCCAGATCTATTGCTTTGTTACAGTCTTCATCCCTTAGAAAATAAGGAATAGATCCCAGTTCTTGAAAATGGTGAGAGACAATGCTCATTCTGACCATCTAGCTGTGGTCAGCTGAATTAGCACTGAAAAAAAGTCAAGTTTGTGTCATCCATTAAGCGTGTATTATAAAATATCATCTGCTCCCACAGACTGATTCAATGATAATTGTATTTGTTTCTCATCCAAATCTATAAGATTTGTCCAGAGGCATTGAAAAAAGGATACAATTTAGGATACACTATAAATTGTAAGGAGAGGAAGCAAGGAGAATTCATGTTACCATGAAATAAAATGGAAAATAAATGAGTCTGAAATAATTCAGATTGAAAAGGTATATGTGATTTTGCTTTTTTTTTCTTGCGAATGGTTGGGAATTTTCTTCGTTTCATGTCAATTATTCTTAAATTTCTGCTGCCATTACTGGCAGTGAGCAAGGAGCTGGTGCATCCAGACTGTCAACAGCTCAGAGCAGCAAGTTCCCAAAAAATCATTTTCAATTCTTAAGTTAAGTCTGGCTGTTACTTAGCTGGATAAAGAATTTTTTTTCATTTACCTTCTTCTTATTTCATCGTCTCTGAGGAACTAGTCATACGTGAATATTTGCAGAGTTGTATCATCTTTAATGAGGAATTGGTCTCTATGGGGCAAAGAAACAACATGAATTAGACAGGGACAAGCATGGGAAGAAATCTAAAGCTACCAGGAGTTTTAAATTGAGAATAAAAATCTCTCAGTCTGTACAACTATGTATCAAAAGTATATGTTGTATACTATGAAAGTCAGCTCATCATTAGATCTGTATTATACACAGAAGCACAAATTTATTTTTGCATAAACCATGGAGTATTGGATCTTACGTTTACAGATCACCAGAACTGAAAAATGTCTGCTTCAATTATCTCTCTGAGATTTTCTGCAGATATTTCATAACCCATAAATGTCACTTATTAAAATGCAATTACATCACCTCTTTGCCAACATCAACATTTGTGCTTATCAGCATTCCATTTTCTGTCCTGCTCCAATCCTTTTTTCTTTCCCTTTACTTTCTCTCTCTTATTCCTTATTGACCCACAAGACTGCAATAGTTCCCTGCACATTCACACCAACTTAACTTCAGCTGCAGTGCTACTCTGGGAATGAGAGTGGCAGAAGTGCTGGCACACAGCTCCTCTCTGGGGTAGGAACTTCTGGCAAGGACTGGAATACATAAGGGTGACAGCAGAACTCCTAATTGCTCCTACTATATCACTCAAACCCAGCTGTCAAAGTCCCCAAATTCTCTGGTATGTCTCCAAAATACTAGTCCAGATTTTGGAAGCAGAAGAGCCAACGAGCATGACAGCCAAAGGAAGCTTCTCTTTAGAGTTGTTTGTTCAAATACTGAGACCATGACTGCTACAAGCATAAAGGACAGCTCTGAGCTAACCCTGGTACCTTTACAGGACAGGGCACTAAAAAGCCTGAATGCCACCATCCATTGAGTCCCCTCTGCCTGCCTGAAAAGCAGAGCAAGTTCCTAAAACTGTGTGGTTTTGGAAAAAGAAAACAGCCCCAGTGTACCAGGAAACACACTTGTGAACAGCCAACATTTCTCAGTGGTGAAGTGTCCCAGTGTGCATTGTGGAGGCAGGGGAAGGGAAAACGGAGGGGAAGGGATCTACAGGAATTGTTACACTGTTTTTCCTGACTCTGCACAAGTTTTAGATTGCCCTCACTGCCCTCTCCTCACACACCCTTTGGGACAGACAACATTGACTACACTGCTTGAGAAACAAGTCACGTAGAGACCACATGCCTGCAGGCTGGTAGGTGTAATGTGAAAGGGAAGAAAACTTCCATTTCTGCAGGAAAGGGAAAGATACCAAAACTTTCAGGAGACAGGCTCATCCCAAATAACTGCTCTGTCAGTACAAACACTTTGAACTTCTGCACAGTAGAAAAAAAGATATTTCAAACAATAGGAATCTGCTTAGCTTTCAGTATAGGCAGTTCCCTTACATCTCAGAAGAATATTCTCATCTAAACAACTTCTAAAGATTTGTAAATTTTGTCACAGACACAGTAGGTATAGACAAACTACATCATTAAGACATTTTTATTCTGCAATAAACTCTGAGTATTTGATAAGAATTAGAACATATTCTATAGTTGATTGACTACATATGCTGTCAATTGATTGACTACATTGCCAATGTTACTCCAATGCATCTCTAATGCAGAAATACTTCTTAAAATATTCAAAAGCAACATTAAACCATGTCACATCAGTAACAAAAGCTTTTATAATAGACTAATTTCCCAAGAGTTTATGAATAGATGTTTGTATAGAAGTTCCAACTCCCAGGTCTGCCTCCTAGCAGTCAGAAGAAAATGTGAAGTTAAGCTACTCATACTTAATGTACTCAAATGCTCAGAAAAAGAAGTAGAAAATATGGAGAGCATGAACTGGATATTGGAGATGCTGATGCACTGTGAGAATGGGAAAAGCTGTTTTCAGGGCAGGTGAAATGCAAGAGGACACTTGGACCAGCTGCTCCACACTTACAACCTATAAGCAATCTTACTCATACCTGCCTAAATACTTGGGGATGTTTATTTTTCCTCCACAGTAGTAGCCAGTTTTATTGAATGGAGACAGATCATCTTCCAAATACCTAAAAAAAAAAGTGTCAATAAAAAATTTAATCTCTGCTCTTGTGCTGCAGTTATAACATGTTAATACTGACTTTATACCTTAAGAAAAGCATTAATAGTTTATGTTCTTAAGAAGCTGTTAATCAAAGATCTAGCTTCCATCAGCACAAAGCTAGCATTTGCTAACATTTTAGAAAGCATAAACTACTTTAAAAGATTTGATTCAGTCAAGCACTCATATGTGAAATCCCAGTTCCTTGGTGCCAAACTGTACAAACACACATTTCTTTCCACCAATTCCTAAATACGACTAAAAGAAGATACACATCTAGATGCCTAAAAGCCCCTTTGAAATACTGAAAACAATAATAGGAACCTTCCTGCAGGGATTGTTACATGTACTAGAGTATAAATATTTGACAGATTTTTTTTTTTTTTAGAATGTTATTCAGTTTTAGAGTAACTTGTTTTTCACATACAGCAGATGTTTTGATTTAACAGGGTACCACTTTATGCATTTAACCTTATTCTCTGTGTCTCAATGTCCATTTCTAAAAGGAGAGATTTACAGGAGAATTATTAAAAAGTTTTGGTTTCTGTCTTGTGGATAAAAAATTTATTTGGTAATACAGTATTACTAGATAATTTTTCCCATACATACATCTGTGTGCCTGCACACAGACCCAAACATTTATGTTTTTTTAAAGGCCCATTTGTCCATCAAGCTTGCTGTAGCTGCAGATGCCTCTCAGAGAACCATAAACAACCTGATAACCAAACCAGTATCATCAGGAGCTTCCTCTTACAACAGCTTTGAGAGAAAGCATGATCAACATAAAAGATTAGAAGCAGACTTAATCTTTCCTTCTTCTGATATTTGTTCATATAATCCCAGGCTACCTGTTTGTTCCTCTTTCCTGGATGTAGCTCAGGAGACGAGCAAAGCTACAGGAGCTCTCTAAAATGCTAGAATAGGGTAACTACAAAAACACAACTTCTGCCCCTTGTACACAAATACCTTTTTTTAAATTATTTTAAGAGCTTAAGCCCACAGCTTATGAAATTGTTGCTCTGAGAAGATCCCAAATCTCTGACACATCGAAGTATGTGCTGTTATTCAAGGGTGCTATAAAAATTCAAGGCAGAGTTTAAAACCTGAAAATATAAAATAAACCATACATTAACACAGCAATTCCCAAATCATGCATATTCGTAAAGAGAGGCTTAAAGATGAACCATCATCAGGTTCTCCTATGTTTACTTTTGCTAACCAGCTCTGATTGGTGGCAAGACATAAAGTGAATTCACCCGAAGTGAAACCATGGAATAGGATGCCATGAAAAGGCAGCAATCCAGAGTTGTCTAAGAATTAGGCCTCTAAAGAGTATCTCAGAAATTATGCTTCTCCTTTCAAAGATAGAATTTGTTCATGGGCAAACTGAGGAAAGAAGCCTTGTGTCAAGGAGCACCAAGGTAATAAGAAACAGATTCTCTGTCTTGATGTTCCTGTTCTGTGGATAAGCAAAGCATGAATATTTTGAGCTTTTCTGATCTGGTATAGTTCTGTGGCTTTGTACTCATTGCAAGGGTTTTAATTAAAAGAGAAACCAATTATATCTAACCCTTTGCCTACATTATCATTAACCTGCTTTCTTTACAAATTAAAGGCACTGAAGCAGAATTTTATTTTTTTAATGATGCTATTAATTTAATTCTCTTGGATCTTTTACCTTTCTTGCACAGATTAGTTGCCTGCATTACTTTTAGTATCATCTCTCCTGAGAGGTGATCCATTAGGTGAGTTATTTTAATAATGCTCGAGTGTGAACTTTCTGTTAAAGCTTCTGCAGCACTGGCAATCCCTACTGCAAGAGAAAAAGCTGGCACATCTAGATCTGGAATGGTGTTCAAAAGGATCCTATCAACTTAAAATTCATACTGAGCCACATCCAGGAAGTATGATTTTCTCTCTACTTAAACTAGAAGTAGAGACAGAAAAAGAAAAACCACAGAAGAAATGAGAAGAGTACAGGGGAGGAGGGAGCATGCAAGAATAAATGATGACTTGAAAGGAGATGAGCTGAGAACAGGTGGTGAGAACAACAAAATGGAACATAAGACAGCAGGATTGTGGAAAATACTGAAGACAACTGGGGAAAGAAAAAAACAAACCCCAAAACAAAACAGGGAGAAACTGGAATATAGAAACACAGGAGAAAGTTAAAAAATATTTCCTTGCATTGGCTATTTGTTGTAAGGGTATTTTAATCAAAATTAATGGAGGAAAGATGCATATCTGTGTCCTGTGGTCTGGGACTTGATGTACATGCACTGACCTACCTAAGGAATAAAGCTCTATACACATTAACATAGAAGAGCAAAGCTTGTCCTATGGGGTGTCTCAATACCCTTTCCTATTGATTAGTACTGTCACCACAGTGTTGAAAAGCTAAGGGATTTTTTTTGTTCTAATTTGTCCCACAGAATATTACTGTGCTGTTGGATCAAAGCTATTTCAAAACTCAGTCCCAGTTTCTTTCACTTCGGGCACTTGGAAGAAAATATGTACACTTGCAGCATTCCAAGTCCTAAAGTAATCCAGCTGCAATATGAAAAACAGAAATGAAGTATTCATATAATTTAAATGCAGCAAAGTTTCCATTACAATTCATTTTAAGAAGATGCTTTTGTTCACATAGGTTGGACTCGGACTTGATTTTGGAGGTCTTTTCCAACCTTAATGTGATTCTATATTCTGAAATCACCACCCTTTAGGAATTCCAGGACATTGGGTGTATTTACACTATCAAGCAGTGAGATGCCAAGGAGGGCTGGGGGGTTGATGTCCTGCACTCCATTATGGTTCCAGGACCCCGTGTCCACTCTGTACCTTTGCCCACAATGAAGTTCATGCCACTTGCCCATCCCAGGCTCACACCTCCAGCAGGAAGGAAAACACACTACACTTCAGTGCATACAGCAAGTCTTGTGCAGGCACAATGCAAATTCATACCCAAAAGAACTCTTTGAGCTCACATCACTCCCCCAGTGACCTGCAGTTCTTCTCCCAGCTCTCAGCATCACGGACAGTGCCATCAAAAAGGCAGAGGCTGTGCCATTTTGACAGCATGCCCAGCACAACTCTCAGCCTGATTTCTGTGAAGAGAGGTGGCACATGTCAGTCTGAGTGACAAGTCATCCAAAATTTTGAGTATTGCTCTGACACCAATCCCTTCTATGAGGTTTAACAAATGACTGCTTTGGCTTTCTCCTGGTAAAAAGTGAGAAGTTATTCCACAAGAAGGAATACAAGCCAGTAGAAAGTACATAATGACATTAATTCTGAAGATACATCTTCAGAAAATGGCAACTTTCTTCTTAGTTCTGTATTATGTCACACACTCAGAAGTCTTTCTGTATGCAGAAGGACCCATGGACATCACTGGAGTATTTTCTTGTAGCAGTAAAAACTTTACAACAACCATGTAGAGGATAAAGCAGGATAAACTTCCAGTAGGATTACACTAGCAGTTGTAACAAATCAGGACCCAAAGACACATAAGCCAGGAAGAGGTAAAAGCTTCCGAGGGTCGTGCAAGTCTCAAAGTTGAGAAAAGTCCTGTCAAGTCTAAGCACTGCTGTCACATATTCTGAAGACTCCCCAGGAAAAGAATTGGGCTGGTTTCCTGAGTCTCTTCTTTTCAGTGCATATTACAAGATACTGACTTAGATGAGCTACCTTCTTCGTTTTCCCTCTGGAACTACTAAGGATGTGCCAGTGACTACAAGATGTTTCTTAAAAGACTTAGAGTAAATTCCTGGTCAAATATTAAGCTTCATTCATTTTCTTCCTGTGGTTCTTCTCAAAAGAGGATTCTGGAAAAAATCTTTTGGGAAACATGATAAAGAATATGCAAGTATGAACAGAGTTGATAAATCATTTATGAAAAAAGTGAAGCGATAATGTTCCCAAGTGTGAATGCAAGAAGCGTTTCAATTAATATGTGAAGCATAATAAATACAATCCATTTTAAAACAGACAATTAGACAACTGCCATACCCAAGGAAGTGGGAAGATGTGATTTATGACTGGCAGAAAGCAAGCAACTCAGTGGTTATTCAGCTAGTTTTCTTAGGAGGGAAATTTCTCGGTGAGAAAATAGAAGTCTGCCTACCTAATATGATACAAATCAATAGATGAATTCAAGATTCTTGAGAAATAGCCTCAAAGTTACTGACAAATACCACATGCTTTATTAAATAATGAACCATGCACTTGTCTTCTTTCATCAGATGAGCAGACTGATGTTCATCATCTAATACTGTCCACCCAGAGCAATCCAGAGACATGGATTGCTATTTTTATTTTCAGAATTGCCTTTACTAATAAAGCATTTTTTCCACAGGGAGTAAACAGAGTAATGACAGTGTCACAGGAAGCTCATTCTGAAGAAGCTCAGGCCTTGCAGTCCCAGAGGAAAAGTTTCAGCACACTCAACAATCCTGCCAGTTCAGTGCTCTAAATGATCCAGCCCATGATGTCAGGAGGTCAGGTTAACTCCAGTTAAAAGAACTGGCCTTTAAAAAGTTTTGGCTGCTTTCAAAGGCAAAATGAAGCTTTTAGAGTTAAAAATTTATCACAGAAATTGATGTGTGGTTACCATCTTCGAAACTTCTTATGCTTAAAGGACATTCAGGAGTTAATTGCTTGCACACTCACCATCAATTCTGGTCACAACTAATGAAAGACTTCATATTATAACATTGGCAGTACATAATAACAGCTGCCCGATTTCTATGGATGGTGTCACATGAGTGGAACCCTTCCTGTCTTTAAATATCTACTAAATGGTGATTTTTACGGAACATAAATTCTTTGTTGGGTATTTTAGTTTTGCATGTTTAAGAATCATTAATATTCACTGAACTTTACACAATTAGTCATGACATTGTATAATTAGTTGCCCTTTGCATTACCCCCGACAGACGTTCCGATCTTGCACACATTAAAACATTCAAATAAACCACAAGTGTATGCATAAACTTCAAGCAATTAAAGGGATTTTGTTCAACTTTCAGTCCTTTGTGAGTAAAACTAGTTAACTCAACTAGCAAAAGAACAGGAATCCAATGACAACCTAGAACTGGGACTAGTACTTTGCTAATGTATTCAAATTCTGAGGTTTGAGAGCAAACAGCATGATCAAGGTCTGTTTAAACCAATAAGAGATTGTCTTCTTCCTTTAGAAGCATTTTAGGTCTGGCTCTATATTCTCTGTGTAGAATGAAAAAGCCCATTTCTTAATTTAGAAAAGAAAACGCTGTCTCTAAGCAGAACAAAATGGAGCAGTCCTCTACATTTACCACTGAGAATTAACTTGACAGAAAGACATTAATGATTTTACTAAGAAAGCAATAAAACAAGACAACTGTAGATTAGCAATATTCAAGCAGTAGTAGGCCTAAAAATGCTTCTACATTTTTTTTCTGTAAGGTGCATATCTGCACTGTACAAGCACAAGCTCTGTAGTCTGAGTTATTCAAAACTGACTGAGCCTCCTTTCAGAAGGAACCTCCCAGGAACCTGATAGAAAATCAGGGACAAGATCACACAAACAGAATTGACCTCTTTACTGCTTACAATTCATAACTTAGCTACAGTGTCAAATAGCAAATCAGACTTAAATAATGTTCTTCTTATGAGGATTAAGCAAATGAGTAAGTATAATTAGTAAAACTATAATTATCAGCTCAATGTTCCCATTACAGCAATAAAGAGAGAGTGCCTGTAGAATAAATTCCAGTTTCCTTCCTTCCAGGTTAACCAACCACTGGAAAAAAAGAAAAAAAAGAGAAAACCATGAATAATTCAAGATTTTACTTGCTTTATGTAAAAAAGGGCCCTGCATGTAAATTCAGATGAATCCCTCATTCACTGAAAAACCAACTCATTTCCTTTCAGAATAGCAAATGGAGAAAATAATTTCCTTTTAGATGACTGCACTGTATGCCTATTTCACATCCTGTTGAACACACAGTGAAGAATTAACTGGCATAAACATCTCAGCCCCTTACCCTGAAGGTGTGAACAGCACTGTTAACAGCCTTCTCCATCTCTGATTTTGCTTTTTTATTAAGTAAGCATTCTTGCAGAGACAAGATTGTCAAAAATTAGACAGCAGAACTTATCAAACAATAGATGAGGATAATTAGATCACATTTGAATACCACTTTTTGTAACTCCAGTGAAAGGAAAGGAATAGAGTGACAAGATCTCTGATGCTTTTGTCCCTGAACCTAATTCCATTAAGTCATTTACTCCTTTTCAATCAGCTACCAAAAGTAAAATGGAACGACATCGCATGTGATGTATCGTCATCTTAGTTTTATATTTGTCCTGAAAAAGTTTTACAACATACAGGAAGGAAAGCAGCAGAGAACTTGCCACTACATCCTGGTGTCCTTTTGCAGCAACCACCACATTGAAACAGGTGTGCACATGATCTGCTCTACATCCTGTCTCTGACAGCAGATCTGGCCAGCTCCATCAGAGGCAAGTGCAGAAGCCTGCCCAGTCAGGATACAGTATTTTTGCTGAGGAATTCTTCAGTTCACATCTCTGCAGGATTTTACATTAAGAACAGACGTCTCATGATGCCTTAACTGCTAAACCTCCATGCAAAGGGTGGATGCATCTGTCAGTGTGAGAGGCTGCAGCACACCAAGTGCCCTTAGGGGAGAGTTAACCCTGATCTGACCATGGAAACCCTTTAAGGCCACATCATTCTCTCAGTCCCAATGGAGATTTGTCTTCTCCATGTCTACAATTCAAGTTGATTCTAGTCATGTCCAATAACCCTTACTTCCATCCTACAAAACTAGTCTTGCTTCCAAATGGATGAGTCTTGTCACTTCTGTTAGTTCTAAGTGTATTCAGGAGTATGGTCTTGTTTGCAAACAGTCTGAATCAGGGTCAGAAACTCCAAAAGCTCAACTTTTCTGAGCATCCTACTGGTGACACAATCTCATACATGTTGCTGCAGCATTGGGATGCATGCAGGATCCAAGATTACATACATTTTAGCAGCACAGGGATAGAGAGACATTAATTCATTCATATTCTTACTTCCTTTCCTTGCAGTCACTACAGTTTAATTTTTTCTCTACGACATTTAAAAATATCTGGATTTTGGACAAAATTCAACTTTTCACAGTCATGATTTTCATCTGGTTTGCAAATATCTGTACTCACATGAACATAAAAAGTCAAACACATGAAACAGTTTCCTAACTAGAGAATTCCTTGACATAAAGGTTGTCATCTGCATTTTAGGACAAAAATAACATATGGTGGAGCATCCCACCAACATGTCTTAGCAAGTCTCCAGTTCAGAATGAGTAAAACCTAAAATGGGCTTCCTTATTCAGAACTAAGCCATTCTATCCTGGAATGCAAATCCACAGGTAGTATCTCAGAGTATTTTGCCTGTTGCTAATTGACTGCAATGGGCTAAGTCAGGTAAACAGCAAGTTCCAACAACAATCAACAGCACTTATAAGGTTTCTATTTTTTGTTTAAAACCAAACAGCAGAAAATCTGTTTTGGCACTTGAAAGAAGGTCAAAGAATACTTTAACAAATGAAGATTAAGGGCTCTCATCCCTTTAATCTCCCCCCCCAAAAGTGTTGCAGGCAGGAATGACAGAGGACTCCAGCACACACAGATCAAGCGGCAGCTTCTCCAGGCAGGAAAAGGCAGACAGTACACAACCCATTTCCCAGTCAGGATTTTACCTGCATCACAGACTGCTTAGAAATGCCACCACTGTAGATAATGAAGAAATGGTGGCTGCCCAGGAAAGATTCCAAAAGCTTCCTGTTGTAAACTGCCTGCAGTTGCCCCCTTGTGTATCCTCTGCTGCTCGCTGTCAAACGCTAATAGCCTCCATCCCTTGAGCTATACATAAAGTAGGGCAACCAAAAATTCTTGGCACATTAACAGAAAGAAAGAGTTCTAGATACCCTAAAATACAAAGTGGGGGTGGAGGGAGATAAAAAATATAAATTCCATTCACTTGTTTCTGTTGCTTTTCCTTCTACATTGTTTAAAAGAAGAAGTCCTATAGAGGCACACGTGCCAGATATTTTTTCCTATCAACACACCAGGCAGTCTCCAGAGCATAAATGGACTGTTCCTCCATTTCACCCGTAGAGCTAAACAAAAAGGCCATCTGCTCCTGGATTTGACTGACTGAACTCGAGCTGCAGTGAGTCACATGTTCCCTACACTCGCTGTGGGGCTGTCAAAGTAGTGATTTCTGCCTGTAATTTTTTACTTTACCCCATGACTCCATGGGATGGGCTGTGCTTAGCTCAGCACGGGCAAGTATATATGCAGTAGGAAAGGGAATGGCATTGCAATTTTTGCTTTTCCCCTCACTCCATTAGAAAGCAACCCTCCATTCAAATGGCAGCCTGTTAGAACAGCATTAGAATTCCTAAAAGAAGAGAATCAGTTACTATAGGCACATTGGCTGGGCCAAAGCAAAAGAGAAAATCCAACTTACAAGGCTACAATCAATTTATACACCCCCAAGAAAGATAAAATACCTAATTTATACTCAGGTATGTTCTCACATACTCCAAAGTATAAGTGACTTGATACTTGCCTTTAGGCATAGATTCACAGTCCTCTTGTGCCTTTTGTATCAGCTTATAACTGCTGAGGGTGGTGATGGCTGGTGATGCACCTTCACTGTGGTGCAGGGCCTTGCATCAGTCCACTCGTTCACTGAAAAGAAAACAGTGATACAGAGTCAGAATATTTTCTAGCACTGTGTTTTTATTTCCCCTGTACAGAAAGACTTAGAAGCAGCACATGGGCAATCCCTTGCAAAAGCCTCAGCTTTGGTGTTTGTCCTCGCTTTGTCAGATTTCTGTTTTAGACCCTAAATTTCTCCTCTTGGAATTGCCCAGACCAAAGTTACTCATCTTGACATATGTACCCTGGGCATAACTGTTCTTCAGAAAAAGGTAGGTCTGCCTGGAGCAAGTTTTTGCCTGAAGGAAAGCATTTAACCAATGCAAATTCTCTTAGTGATCAGCAGCATATAATTATTCTGTGGGTTCCTGCACATGAAGCCATCTGGATTTAACTCTCAAGTAAGCTCCAGAGTGAGGTCTCATTGTTCACAACTTTTTTGGCTTTTAGACTGAGCATTTACTGTGGAACTCACACAAAAAGTCTCATCTGACCATTTAAAAATAAATAAATAAAGCGTTAATTTTTCTCACACTAACTCCGCTTCCTTTTAACCAAAACAGTTGTGAAACTCCTGTGCCAGAAAAGAAAACACAAGAGCAAAGTTAGAGAAACATAAGAAAAATGAGTTTATTTACTGAAGGACAGAATCATACGTTTCAGGAAAAGAAAGGGCCTTCTGGGTCATATACGTCATATCCCTTGACAGCAGGATGGTTGCTCATGGTCTCTAATGTGCTTTCATTGATTTTTTTCTCTTTTTCAATACTCCAGAGAGACAGTATCTCATCATACCCACTCATGATAAATTCCCCTTTGTCCACTTAATTTACTGCAGACCTGGAAACCATTCCCTAGTGTCTGCAAACTTTCCCTTCATTTACTATGTTATCTTTAAAATAATGTAAATAAAGCTCCTTTCTTTTCTGGTTGTAAACTACATTCTGACTTCAATACTCTGTTTGTCACATGAGAGTATTTGTGATCTGGAGTGCATAAACTGTGCTGCAGTTTGATACAACAAATGAGACTTTGGCACATTGTGTTCAGAAGGATGAGCAATCACAGACTTACTCAAGCATATCACTGAACAAATTCACATAACCATTTCCAAAATATTAGTTTGGAGTTTTCCTGTCATCTTCATTAAAAAATGTTTCCCTAAACACCAAACGTTCCAGACATGCAAGATTTAAAACTCTAAAGGCAGTACCCAAAGCCAGGCATTTTCAAATTTGGCTTCTTTGAAAGATTTAGAAGCTGCACACTGACAATTTACTTCACAAGTGATCACTGGTTCATAAACTGAAAACTACAGTTTCTTATTCACCTACAGTCAGCAATTAATCCAGTATAGTGATGACAACTATTACTAATAATAGTACAAGAAATGGTAAAAATAGAAAAAGTGTCATTAGCAGGTTAATGTTGCCTATTCAGGCAGTAGAACACAAAGTTTCCACCCTTATGCAGCCATGTTTGATTCAGTGTAACTTTTGAATGTCCATATATTAAATGGTTGTTGCACAAAGACATAAATCAAGTTTTACAATCCATCAGAATTTGAAACCAACTCTTATTAAAAAATAAAAAACACATAAATTGGTAACGTGCAGAAGCTCTAGAGTAAAAAGGAAAGGAAAAGTATAAGAAAAACAAATGGCACTGAATTATTCAAACCTACAGTTAGACTGTGAGTTCATCATATAACACTAAGCTTTCCTAGCTTACAAGATAAAAATCTTTGCCTTAAATCCAGAGATACTGTCTCTGGATTTTTGAGAAGTTTTCTGCCATTCTAGTAAGCATAGTTCTTAGAGCTACAAGAATCTTATAATCTCTTCAGAGTTTGTGGATCCAGATCTCAAATATTACATATTATATAGACAGCAAATACAAATAGCCTTTATTAAAAAACCTTCTAGAAGAAAAAAAAAAAACCAAACTCACCAAACCAACACACACACACATAGTTTACCACTTCAGTGCTTGAAAATATACACCTTAGAGTTGCCTCTAAGAAAATTTGCTGGAGCTGCTTCTGAAGCCAGACTCGAGGAAGGAGATGGAACATCTGCCACTCTTTGCACAGCAGATGAAGGTTGCAGTCATTTTGCAGCACACCTGAGCAACAGTTGGAGTTCCCAATTAAAAGAATGAAGTGTGCTAAGCCACTCCATGTGATGTTATCACCCTTGGAGTGGATGCACTATCACCAAACAAGGTGAATTGAACACCAGATAAAAGCACAAACAGGGAGAAAACACCAGCTCTTCTTCTAAGACTGGGAAACTTAAGTGTGAGAGGGAAAATTACTGAACACCAGCATAGCCTTCTGTTTTGGTCTGACATGTGAATGGCAGCAGATTGAAGGTGTCTGAAGCAAGTAGTTTAAATTATAGCTTCATATTTTTGCTTATGAAAGACTTCATCTTTTCAGCCACATTTTCAAGCATTACTGTAAACTTAGTACCTGAAAAACACACATGCTGCATATGTAAAAAGCTCTTAGAAACATTCTGACAAAATTAGAGGGGGAAAAAAAAACCCAATTTGTTGTTGTGCACTTATTGTATTTCAGCATGCAAGTCATATTGGTTTCTTTAATTGCCTATTTGCATGGGCAACTTTTGCCCAGTTTTGAAAACAAAACCTATTTTTGTGTGCAGGCTTCAGGGAATATTGCAGTTAGAATGTTTGTAGCCCCCAGTGCAAAGTGTTCCTTCTCTGTTGACTGAAATTAATACCATAAACAGGGAACCATTACTTTTTCTTTCTTTCCTACATTATTCAAGCATCATAATTGAAACCTTAGAAAACCTGGCATGCTATTAGACTCAGACACGATAAATGATGACCCAAAATGGTTTTCAGACTTAATCCCCTGAAGGTAAGTACTCCACATAAAACCCCATAATCCAAATTTCAGAATTAATTACTTTTGTCATTTGTGACAGGCATTATGAATCTGAATTAATTATATTAGGAATGTCTGTAAACAGAGTAATGGCTCAAAGGAAGTAAATCTTTCTGATAGAATTTGCCATGCATTTTTGAGGATGAAACACAGGATGTGGTTGGGGAACTAAGCTAAATTTACCCAGAAAATTAATTATATCCTATTCTGTCCACCGGTGAATATGTTTAAAAGGCTGGCTTATAACAGACTGTCATGAGAAAAGTGACCAGTCTGACTGACAGCAGCACTGCTATCTCAATAAACATACAACCACCAGCTCAGGAACCACACTGACAGTATTGATCAGCATCAAGGCTGGCAAAACAACAGTTTATCTTTGCCAGAGAATGCAAGTCTCCAAAACTCCTTCCGCTAGAACACCAGCACAGTAATCACTCTGAGGCACAGAAAATTAAGACCTATTCATACCACTATATTTACAAGTCTTTCCATAATAAAAGCATACAATGGGCTAACACTGTTCAAATTAACATTTACAACAATTTCAGGAATTTGTCATTGTCTCAAACTGCACCATCAGCACAAACTGATTGGCACATAATATTTCATCTTTGACAAACATTTCAAGATTTGGCTCCTCAGAGCAGGGAATTTTTTTTTTTTTAAACCAAACAAATAATTTCAATTAGCTGCACCTAAGTTATCAATTCTCACAGCAAATGTTTATTTTAGTCTGTATCTTGACTTCACCCCATTGTAATTTATTTAGTAACTAACTCATCTAACGGATTTGGGAGTCAGCCTAACTGCTTCCAACCATTGTGCTGGAACTTTGTGGTAAGTTATAAACATTTAAGTGCTTTTACATTAAAGCAAATAGCACTGGCCATGTAGTTATCATAAAGTTTCTCCTACTGTTGTGGTTTCACACCAGCTGGCAACAATGCCGCTCCCTCACTCCCCCACCAGCAGGAGTGGGGAGAGAATGGGAATGGTAAAAGCTACAGAACTCGTGGGATGAGACAAAGACAGTTTAATAGGGGAAGCAAAAGCTGTGCTCACAAGCAAAGCAAAACAAGGAATGAATTCACCACTTCCCATGGGCAGGCAGGTGTTCAGCCCTCCCCAGGAGAGCAGGGACCCATCACATCTAACAGTGACTTGGGAAGACAAACAGTGTCACTCCAAACATCCCCCTCTTCCTCCTTTCTTCCCCCTACTTTATATGCTGAGCATGATGTCATATGGTCTGGGATATCCTTTGGTCAGTTTGGGTCACCTGTCCTGGATGTGTCTCCTCCCAACCTCCCCTGCACCCCCACAGCCTCCTCACCAGCAGGGCAGCACAAAAAGCAGAAGAGGCCTCGGCTCTGTGCAAGCACAGCTCAGCAACAAAAACATCTCTATATTATCAGCTCTGTGTTCAGCACAAATCCAAAATATAGCCCCATAACAGCCACTGGGAAGAAAATTAACTCTACCCCAGCCAAAATGAGCAAATGAGCACACATACCTTCTGTGAAACAAATGATTACACTGTTTCTATATGTCAAAAAGTTCCTAGTAGATTGTTTGTTTGTATTAAACAAAGTACTAGTGATCAGAGTCAATGATTATTTTTGAAGGTTTTTTTTATTTCATTGTGTTAAAAAAAAAAATCTTATAATTCTTTCAGGCAGCTCATTCCTAATAAGAACACATAGAGAACATTTTCAAGCCCAATTTATTCAGGTCTGGAATACTTCAAGGATTTCATTAAGCATTTTAAAATCCTTTCTATATGAAAATAAACAAAAACTCCCACCCTGTATGGAGGATCTGTTTGAAGGGAAGATATAACAATGTAGTTACAGCAAACACACAGAAATAAGTCAATCTAGAATCCACCCTGGAATTCCCACAGGGAGCTTGCATGTCGCATGATTTGGTGTGTAAAGACCAAACATGTTTGCACAGGATTTAGTCTTTTTGCACTCAAAACATTAAATGGTACACCAGTACAAATAGATACACACATGTATCTAGGCCCTTCAACATAGCCGTGAAGAACTTTGAAAAAAAAAAAAAAAAAAAAAAAAAAAAAAAAAAAAAAGAAAGAAAGAAAAAATGT